CGCGAGCCAAATTTAAAATTCATGCCAGGTTTTGGAAGTTTGGCTTAGGTATGTAAAAATATTGGAACCGCTTAAAAAACTTGAAAAAAGAGGTAAAAAATTGTTTTTCGTTGGTTACGCATCGAATGGCTATAGACTTTGCAATAAGGAAGAAAGAAAATTAATAATCGCACGGGATGTAAGATTTGAAGAATCAATAAAGGAAGAAAACAAAATAAAACACAAAGATGAGACCTAAAATAGCAAAATTAAATTTATCCAATTTGGAGAAGATTTTGAAGAAGAGTTAGACAAAGAAGTCTTGAGCGACAGTGAAGAATGGGAAGATGTAGAAAGTGCAAGAAATTCTGGAGAAGAACAAAGAGGACAAAAAAATATAATAAATTCTACGGATGAAGAGTAAATAGATCCAGAAAACATAACAGATCAAAGAAGAAAATCAAACAGAGAAAAGTAGCGTCCAGTACGTTTCACAGAATATGTGATGTTGACTTACAGACAAGCAGTAAGATCTGATAGACAAAAATGGGAAGAGGCCATAGAAGAAGAAAAGAAGTCTTTGAAAGAGATCGAAACATGGAAAAAAATAGATATAAAAAATTTAAAAGAAGAAAGGCCTGTGAATGGAAAATGGGTCTTCAAGACCCATTAAACAAGACGGACGTTATAAAGCGCGACTTGTTATAAGAGACTACGAACAAGAAGAAGGTATAAATTATCAAGAAATATTTAGTCCAGTAATTAGTACAAGTGCATTGAGAAGTTTATTTGCTTTGGCAATGAAAAAGTATAAGATTGTAACATTTGACATAAAAACGGCATTCTTATATGAAGACATAGAAGAAAACGTTTACATGAATCCTCCTGAAGATTATGACAGTAAAGGCAAGATTTTTAAGTTAAAAAGGCCTTATATAGTTTAAAACAAGCGTCATTAGATGGAATATACGATTCACAGATTTTCTAAAAGAAAAAAATTTTAATTTATTAAAATGCGAAGAATGTATATTTAAAAATATCTATAAAGATCTAATTTTTGAAGCAAATCTTTTTGGAGCAAATCGAAAAGAGATACAAGAAGTAGTTGAGCACCTGAAGGGAGAATTTAAACACAGTTGTTTATAATCCAAAAATATATGTTGGATTGGAAATATCACGTGAACAAAATGAAATCAAGCTTAAACAATTTGAATATACAAAGAAGATTCTAAAACAATATGGAATGGAGAATGCAAGGCCAGTAAAGGTACCTTTAATTAAAAATAAAAAAAGAGATACGCCAAGAAAAGAAGTCTTTAATTATAGAGAATGAATAGGAAGTTTGTTATATCTTTCAATTAAGACAAGACCTGACATATCTTTTGCAGTTGCCTTCAGCAGCCGATTCATAGAAAACTATACACAAGATAATGTTAAAGATATAAAACATATCCTGAAATACTAAATGGCACAATTGATCAAGGTATATAATTTAATAGCAATGAAAGCTTGAATATTTGACATGGTTATATTGTGATGCAGATTTTACTGGAGATCTACAAACTAGACGAAATACAAAATTTTACATACTTGACATAACATATTTCTTTGTTCTGTGAATTTGGCAATTTTATATCGATCTATCTATAGGTTTATATATTTGAAGACCTAAGCAATATCATTACATATTAACAACAATTTATCAATATGCCTCAACATTACTTTAAACTATATAAAGATTTAATATATTGTAAGACTAATTAGTTGTTAATCCGAGTGTATCTATATCATTACTTCATTAATAAATATATTAGACAGTTACTTCTTATTATTAATGTTCTTATTATTAATGTTCTTATTATTAATGAAGAGGTCCCGAATAAGGGCCGAAACGTATACATTGTCATTGTTCTAATGAATAAATTGATTTATGTACTGTTATTCAGTTATCCAAGCTTGTTATGGCAATATAATTTCGTTCAAATCACTTCGATGTCGAATTAACATTAATTCGTTGAACTATTTTTCGCTGAGACATATCCGGTAATGATAATGTTGTCGGTACATGTAAAAAATGCAAGGATTACTTTAAAATGTTGTAACTTTGCAAAAAATAATCGCAGCAGCTTACAATTTTTTTTTAATTAAAAAGAAAGTTTCGAACCTTATGACACTACAAACAACATCTCCCCAAAAATTGTAGCAAATCCGTGCATTCTGTTAAACTTGGTAATTTTTAATATGACAAACATGTCCTCATATTTTTGGAAGTTACAATGGTAAAAAGGCATCTTAAAGTAGAGACTTCAACTTTTAATTTAAAAAAATTCGTCATCCTACGATAATTTTTGGTGAAGTTATGTTCGATCAAATTTGACTAACTTTTGTCCAAAATTTTTCTAATTAATTTTTTGAGCTGTATACACGTATATAAATACTAATTTATAACTTACATATGTATAATATATACATATATATATGCTTAGTATATACAGTACCCGCCAAAAGTACCGGGCCGACTGAATATCTCGGAGTTTTTTTGAGAAAAATGTTTTAGACAAAAATTATAGCGTTTAAGAAGATCTATTAATGATTTTATTAGCTTGATCTTGAGTGGCGTCGCTAATATCAAGTCAAGATCACATCGATTTTTTTTAAGTTGGACATCCTATATTTTATACCAGAATCTAATAGCCGATGTCGAAAGCTTTTCAAAACGCTACAATAAAGTTCATTTTCATTAATTACTTTTCGAGTTATAAGGCTTGAAAAAGTTAAAGTACCACCATTATTATAATAGTATTACCCAATGTGTCCGATCGACAACTAAAACCTTTTGAATGTTGTTCAGGATCATACCCTGGATAATATTTGTTAAGATCATTGGAGATTGTTTCTCTTATTTTCATTTTTGCACTGAAAATTCATTTTTACTTAAAAATGAAAATAAGAGAAACAATCTCCAATGATTTTAATCTTAACAAATGTTATTCAGGACATGATCCTGAACAATATTCAAAAAGTTTTAGCTCGGACACCTTTCGTAATGCTAATGCCAGCGGTACTGTAACTTTTGCACGTGTCTTATAACTCGAAAAGTACCTAATAAAAATGAATTTTATTGTAGCGTTTTGAAAAGCTTTTGACATCGGTTATGAGATTCTGGAATTAAAAATAGGGTGTCCAATTTAAAAAATCGATGTGATCTTGATATTAGCGACGCCACTCAAGGTCAAACTGAAAAGATCAATAAATAGATCTTTTTAAACCCTACAATTTTTGTATAAAATATTTTTCTCAAAAATGCATACTTTCCGAGATATTCAGCCGACCCGGAACTTTTGATGGAATGTATATTAATACGTATATATGTATATAAATATGTGTCAATTGTTTTTCTGATTAATTCAGACACATTCTCGTATCTTAAATTTTAATTCAGGTTATGACATAAAATCGCTTTGTAATAAATTTTTGATAAATTACGGGAGTTTTTTGTACAAACGAGTAAAATTATCAATTCGAAGAATTGAAATTATTGAGTATTAATGTTATACGTTGTAACACTCAGTCTATATCTTATTCTGCTTGTAATAATGATAAGCGCGGTTCTATGAAATTCTTATCTCTGACTAAAAATCGTTATCGATGAAGTGCAAAAGTAAAAAGCATGCTTAAAATAACGATGAACCAAGAACGAAACGCAAATTATGAAGATCGTATTGAAGTATTATACATATAATATTTAATGAATTATTATTAAATATTTATTAGAAAGCTTAAAATTTTTAGTTTTGCTGAATAGTAACAGATAGTAATCAATCTTTATATGTTTTAGTTCATGATCTTACTTAGTAATAATTCTCTCTTTAGTTCATAATCGCTTTAATGACAAAAGATTACGAGAAGGCTCATGACATTGGAAATCAATGTAAGAATCAATCAATTTTATTGTCTTGTATGTATATATAAGTGCTGTTTAATTAAAACAATTAGTGAAAGAAAGGACAAGATATTAAAATACAATTTTTATTATTAACAGTGTTAAAACGAAACCGTAACGATGTAGATGTTATTTATGGTCTTAATATTCTGAAGCACAAAAGTCAGTGTGGAATTTTTCTCATTTTCTCATATTTTATTCTATTTAAATATATTCTATACTATTCTCTACTTTGCGTTAACAGAAAACGAAAAGTGCGAAAGGTCAAGTTTAATTGAATCTGACAATGAACGCGAAAGAAGTGACGCAGCCGATGGTGACGCTACTGATATAGACGACAATGTAGATGTTCATATTAATCCAGAGATGGCAGATAAAATCATGTCACACGACAAATCTCTATTGAATAACAAAGCCAGGATCAGTTTGAGTCTTAAGCAGAGAATGTATAAAGTAATATCGATAAAGGTGAATAAAAAGGTTACGGAAGTATAAAGAGGGTTTGACGAGAGTTTGAAAATCGATTGTACTTAATTCATATACCTATTATTATAGGGGTTCGAGATATACAAGTAAAATGTATGAATATAATACATAAATAATGTAAACAATATAAATAAAATATAACATAAAAATAAGAGTGAGAAATAAAATACCGTAGGACGTTACTTATATCGAATTTGATTTGACGCAGTGCGCACTGGTGCACATTAAAGCTGTTGTACATAAAATAACGTAAAGATATATTCATAAATAAACATAGAAATCGATTAAATTGTGAAATTTAAAATCGATTAAATTGTGAATATTAAGTAAAATATGTATATAATAGGTAATATGTACCTATTAGGTAAAATATATATTTCATAATTCGAAATATTTGCATTTCATTTTTATACTCAAATTAAATTAGTATACAACAGCTTTAATATGCCACCTAATAACCAGTATACGCATTAGTTTTTCCAATCAAATTCGCCATTAAGTTAATTGGACTCTATATGGACTATTTATTGTATATAAGTTTTGCGATTTTTTTCAAATTTTTTATTAACAACGAGTCCTAAATTAAAAATTGATCGGACGACTCAAAAGAAAAATCATTTCTGAACATTAAAAAGAGACATGAGACATGTCTCTTTTTAATGTATTTAAAATATTTACATGTAGTGGAGATTTTAAGAAAAAGTAGTATTTAGGTTATATTTTGGATACCTAATGTACATACATATAACAAGGTCTCTCTCTCTCTCTCTCTCTCTCTCTC